ACTATGAATCCAGTGCCCAAAATGTGATCTTTAGGAGCGCAGCTGTAGAAAATGGTATGGCTCTTTTTTTCCATAATATTGTTTCCAATCCACCTCATTTCTTGTATGGCAGTTATGTCAATTTTGTATTTACTTAGTTCGTTTAAGAGATTTTGGAGAGCCCCTAATCTGTACAATGTTCGAACATTTCATGTCGCAACCCTCAAATCGTGTTCCTTTTTCTCGCACAGTCGTCGTCGTTTAATCAGTCCGGCTTTTCTTCCTTGAACGTTCATAACTCATGGTTTTTCTAGGAGAAGGTAGTTAACCTTCAGCCCAACCCCCTATTCGTCGGAGGACCAAGACTCCCTTCTTCGTCAGCCCTGACCCCACCTTCCATTGGGGGTTGGTTACCCAATCTCCAGTGGGGTTGCTCAGGTTACCGGTGTGTACCAGCTTGGAGGTAAAGATAGGAATTGAGTAGTAGAGGCTAAGTGACGCCAACAGGATACGGCATCATATGTTGCGCTTCACTACCCCTTCACACACCCAAAACTGCTTTGATTTAACTTAAATTTACTTTGTGAATCCTCAAAACCGGCCAACTCCATATTTTCATTATCAGAGGTTAAAACAGTATTTTTTGAAGACAAACTATCCTGAGAGTATATCGAATAATTTGGTAATGAAAGGGTAAAATTTGGACCTTGAGATCCCATATGCTTTTGTGAATCGTTTAATTTATTTAGTATTGGCAATTTGGGTAATTTTCTACTTAGGTCGTCATTTAATAAGACTTGATCATAAGTCTTATATGAGTCTACCTATCATAACTGGTGTCTTTCAGAATAATCTTATTTTTTTCTTTTATTTGAGACAACATGAGTTTGTTTTGAATAATGAGAAGCAGAGGAAGGAGGTTTTAAGACAACTTGGGTGAATGCTCTAGAAGCACTTGCTGAAAGAGAAGGAAAATCCCTGCTTCTCCTTTGAAACATTCCAGTATTCTCTGGCTTTTCTTTTAGTGAACAACTTAGCAGTTTCAAAAAATGTAAGGTCTTGAAAGACCATTACCTCATTGATGTTTTTCTGTCTGTCAAATAATTTACATACCTTATTAGTTAGCAATCTGCAATCTTGTAGTGTTCCTCACTAGTGTAAATGTTCCTCAGCACATTTAGGACATCTTACTTTTTCTATGCATTGTCTTTAAGAATGACCAAATGTCAAGCATTTGAAACATTGTTGGATAGGGGGAATGTAGGGTTCAACTGCTACCAAGTTCGAATAAATGATAATTTCTTTTGGAGGAATTCTTCCATCAAAAAGAAATTGTACAGTACCTGTTGGAATATATGTTACAGACCCATCTGTACTTACAATCCGTCTGTTTAGTCTTCTGGCAGAAATAATTTTCCCATTTTTATATACAAAGTCTTAAATTATATTTTCTATAGAAATATTGAAAGTGCCACCTCGAATAATGCCTCTTGATGTTAAATTTTTTTGAGGAATATAGACTAGAAAACCTTTATTAAGTAATTCTGTATCATTTAGGATTGTATTTGCTTGTTTGGTGGTATTAAACTGAACTCCGATTCTATTTATTTCTTTTCTAATGATATGTTTGATACCAGTTGTACCTATTGTATGAAAAATTTTAGCAATATCCATAGGATGGATATTACCGGCTTTTCCTTAGTCACTCTCTATCATAACAAGAAAGGGACCGATGTCGGTGCCTTTATATTCAACTTTTCTCCTACTGATATTTTTAATCCTTAAGGATAAATTATTCAAAATTAAAAGTGAAACTGGAACAAACCATGAAGTGGAGATATCAGTTAGCCCTACACTCCAGCAGAGATCAGAGGTAATGTAAGTCAATAAAACCTCACCAACTACAGGGGGTCATGTAAGATGCCCCCATTTTCAGTTTTTAGTAATCTACAAATCAACAGTCTATTGCATTTACCTTCATAAACACCTTAAGGATAGTTTTTTAATACGGAGTTCTCTACTATGTTTTCATGTGACCATACAATGTTTTTTTGACAACTTTTAATTAAACTGATGATGGAATGAGTTTATTCCGAAAAGATCTTCTTTAAAATAAAAATTTTAAGCTTTCAATAAGCATTTTTTTATACCTTAATACACACGACCACCACGTGCTTTATAAATTATTCACTTCTGTTATCATAATCTGATCATGTTGAAATCTATTTTTCAATTCAAAAAGTTTATTTTAAATTTGACTAATATTTTGTTTATGTCTGGGAGCTACCATGTAAGTAGATTTTGAAAAGTTTTGAGAGTCCAATAAAAGCAAGGCAAAAATCCCGCCCCTTTTATCAGGGGGGCCGGGAGTATTGACATCCATGCCTTACAATCTACTGCTATCTATGTAATTTAATGTAAAAAATAAACTTACAATAAAGTCCGTAGGATTTTCTTACTCACTATTAACTAAACTATATTGTACAAAAACTAAATAACTTTATTTTAATTTCAATTACTTGATTGAAAATGAAATCACTCAATTTCCACTGGTTAGATTACTGAGATTCAAAATTGAAATTCATGTGCTCATCCAACCTCCATCCATCCAATACTTTCATTGTATTACTTAATTGTTATTAAACGTCAATAACATAATGACATTTCACTAAAAACTAGTAGGTTACTTTTTTGCAATTGATAAGAAATAATTTATTTTCTAAACTCACATATTTTAATTATTTACTATTAAACTGGGAATAAGCCACAATTAAAGATAAAAATACGTTTATTGACGTTTCAATTTCCACTTCGGAAATCGTTCTCAAAATACAAACAGTAAATTAAACAAATTTTGTTTTTTGTTACATAGTGAAAAATTCTTCTAATAATTTAATTTTATCTGACTCATTTATATTGACAATTCAGACATACATTATGCATTTTAAAGTAGACGACTTTAAAATGATATTGCCAATATTGTTGAGTTGCGCTCCTGGGACGACTTTACTTATAAGATAGTTCATTCGATTACATGAAATCAACTTTAACTTGAGAATATCCGTCAGAAAAAAATCATAGCATGTAATTCGTCTTTAAAAAGACAAACACATGACATGATGACAGTAAAATTCTCCTGTTAGTGATTCCATAGTAAATTATGAGGGAAAACCAGAAAAAAACCTCATAATACTATCCCGACATTGTAAGTATTTGTTCGTGAATTTAGTTTACCTTCAACAAACATCAAAATTCTGATTTTATATGTTACGTTATTTAAAAAACATAAATGATGTATCCTCTATATGTTACTGACTTACTAATACTGGTATTTTCTTATTAATAACTTCCTCTTTCAATATTGGTAACCAGATCCTACTACATTCTGCCGAGGAATTTGCGACACAATTGGCCTCATTTAGCATAATTAGAGCCGCTTCTTTGATTTTTCTTTTTTTACCATCCGTTTCTTTTAGGACTACATTTGAATTATTCCATTGAAACCCTATGTTCATTATCCCATGCGTGTTTACAGAAATTTATTTATTATTTATATATTTTATTTATTTATTTATTTATTTATTTATTTTATTGAACATAGGTTCAATGGAATAATTCAAATGTAGTCCTAAAAGAAACGGATGGTAAAAAAAAAAAATCAAAGAAGCGGCTCTAATTATACTAAATGAGGCCAATTGTGTCGCAAATTCCTCGGCAGAATGTAGTAGGATCTGGTTACCAATATTGAAAGAGGAAGTTATTAATAAGAAAATACCAGTATTAGTAAGTCAGTAACATATAGAGGATACATCATTTATGTTTTTTAAATAACGTAACATATAAAATCAGAATTTTGATGTTTGTTGAAGGTAAACTAAATTCACGAACAAATACTTACAATGTCGGGATAGTATTAGAGGTTTTTTTCCTGGTTTTCCCTCATAATTTACTATGGAATCACTAACAGAGAATTTTACTGTCATCATGTCATGTGTTTGTCTTTTTAAAGACGAATTACATGCTATGATTTTTTTCTGACGATATTCTCAAGTTAAAGTTGATTTCATGTAATCGAATGAACTATCTTATAAGTAAAGTCGTCCCAGGAGCGCAACTCAACAATATTGGCAATATCATTTTAAAGTCGTCTACTTTAAAATGCATAATGTATGTCTGAATTGTCAATATAAATGAGTCAGATAAAATTAAATTATTAGAAGAATTTTTCACTATGTAACAAAAAACAAAATTTGTTTAATTTACTGTTTGTATTTTGAGAACGATTTCCGAAGTGGAAATTGAAACGTCAATAAACGTATTTTTATCTTTAATTTGTGGCTTTATTCCCAGTTTAATAGCAATTAATTTTACAATGCCACAAGAAAATAGCTTTAGAACAATATTTTAAATTATGTCCGCTAGACCCTAACTATTATACAGTTATTGAATCAGCTCATTTTTATTGATCTAAAAATGCCACAAGATGTAGAGCATTAAATTTACAAAAAAAAATCGGTGGCGTCATCACACTTTATAATTAAATTTGTTAGTAAAATGTAGGTCATTAAAATTAAAAACCGACGATGTTTTTCAAAAGGCTTTTAATTTAGGAAACATCCAATTTATTCCATACTTTACGGACACACTATTATTATTATACATACTATATTAAAAAAATACAAATATTTGAAGTCTAAATTACTTATTTTCAAACGTAGCAGAAATAAATTAGAAAAAAGTATTAGCTAAAATATTGACAAGCTCGTTAAGAAAAGCTCGGCTCGGCACGAAAAAAAATTTTTTTTCGCCTCAAAGCTCGGCTCGCAAGAAATAAACCGACTTGAGCTCAAAGCTCAGCTCGTCAAATGAGCTGAGCCTCGAGCCAAGCCGAGCTAAGCTCGAGCTAGTGACCATCCCTAAATTTTTAGAAAAACATTAGTAAAGTTGTTTCAACTCGTTTTTATTGTTGTTTTTACTTTGACTCTTGAAGAAGATTCATGACATTGTTTAATTATTTTTAGGGCACATTTAAATGATCTGGAAAACATCCCACTCTTTTTCGTCGCTGGGTTAATATACACTTTTGCAAATCCTGAAGAAACAGCAGCCAAGGTGCTATTTGTAGTGTATGTAGTCACGAGATATTTACATACTATCGTATATGCTGTTGTTCCTATTCCTCAACCAGCTAGAGGTCTGTCTTGGAGTGTTTGATATCTTATTAATATATACATGGCAATGTACAGCTTGATACATTTTCTAAAATCAAGTTCAGTCTGATGTTTTTAATCTTGATTAAATGTATTAGTTCAATAAGAGTATAATGATTGTTACAGCAAAAATTAACTTACATAAACATATTAGGTTAGAAATTATTTTAGTTAATTTAAATTAGTTATAGATTAAATATTTTTCTGCAATAATTATTCTGTTTTTTAATTTAATTTTAATTTGTTTTACATATTTTGAAAAATAAAGAATAAATTAATAAACGAAAAAATGTGTTACAATTGGCGTCAGAAGTAGGATGAAGTCGTGTTTAAGGGTAATAAAACAACTTCAATGAACGGTATTTTCATAAACTTTAAGTGTTGCTAAAACATTGACTTTACCGATATATTGTGACAAAGAAATTAATATTATTATTCTATTGTTAATAAGAGAAAATACACTATAAATAACTTTTTTGAATAATGAATTGTGTTACTGAAAGCTGTTTACCAATTAATAGTAACATTCATATTAATATTCATAGACTGTGAGCGTTATTAAATACTATTTACCTACCACTCAATAATAATTGGGACAAGAATATACAGTAAGGCCGGTTCCACACATGGGCTCCAACGTTGGCGTGTTCTCACGTTCGGTGAGGCATCCACACATTGGGTTGAGGCATCAACCGCTTCACCAATATTAGCGCGAATCCCTTTGATGTGTACGCAAAAACCGACACTCCACGGAAAACTCCCAATGTTGGAGCAAGTCATAAAAACAGTTTTGTTGGTACATACATTGGACGAACGTTGTTGGGGCCAACGTTGGCCCGTATGTGTGGAGAGAGCGTGTAAGAGACTCTTACCCCTCTCTGTCAGTTCGTGTATTTTAAATATAAAACAAAATCGCTTGGACACTTCGATTCTTAAACTTTTTCTAGTACCTTATGGTACCAAAGTTTCGGTATTTTGATGAACTCCCAGCTAGTTCCTTAATTTTTAAATAGTAAAACGGGTCATGTTGTTATGTTTTAAAAATTCAACCAATCTGAATAAATTATTTCTGTGAATGAGATTACTCCAGTCTCCCATAATAATGCAAAAGTCTGTTGTATTAAACATATTATCTCCCAATTTCTCCCATGTTAGTGATATTTAAGTAGTAGCCTCATCAATTTGACAAGGGTTGTTTTTGGTATTTGGTGGAAAGTGGAACATAAGTTATCAGGCAATTGGTTTTGTATAGATCACCTTGGGAATATTAACCTGAAATTATGTTTTATAACTTGGAGGCATATTGAAGTGCTGTAGGCATATTTTGAGTAGTTGCTAAGTTCATGCCGTATTTTACGGGAGATATTTCCACGCTACCATTCCACAGGTAGACTGGAATGATTCCTAAATCCACCGTGAAGGAATATAACATCAGGTATGTGTAATACATTTTCTTTTGCACTACAATAAGCCTATTGTATAATATTCAAACATATTTTTGTGTATTAGTGTTCTCTGATAGTTATATTTTTTTTAGTATAATTTGCAGACATTAAACCACCTAATCTATAGAGGTAGCCAATATTTATTGGTGATAAATTCACTGTAGAAGAGTAGATATTGCTATCTGTACCACGATTAAAAACCTTCTGGCCAGAGGTGAGTACGTGATCAAATTGTAGTTTTAATTTTTGTTTATTTATAGTTGCTATAAAAATTTAATTATGCATCTTACGTAATTTTAATTTTTGTTGCTATAGAAATTGAATTATGCGTCTTAGGCATCGAGTTAGAATCTATGGAGAAGCTATGAGCATATTAACGTATGTATTAAAAACGGCGTAGGTAGGCGTGGTTAACGATAATACCAATATGGCGGTGGGATCAGGGCCAGACTCAATAATATTAAAACTACTATACAAATATGACTAGTTATTCAGAAGATTTAATCATAATCTAAAAAAGTGCAATACATTTTTAATAAACTATGATTTATTTATCCCGCGGTAAACACTAAAAACACGATATATTATACATATAGATAAATTAATACAGTCAAATACTATTAATTTATTCTCTGAAGTACGGGCCATTACTTTGTTTACATATTTGTATACTAACCTGTGGAACGATATTCCTGAAGATTTTTTATTAACATTGCTTCTGCTACTGCAACTACGTTGAACAAGAAACCATTATTATGCACTATCACAATATATTACAGTTTCTATAAAAGTATTATAAAACTAAAAATATTCGAAAAACAACAAATGTAAACAAACATATACGATCTGTCAAAAGTGTCAAAACAATATTAACAATATGGCCGAAGTGAGGTCGTTTTTAGTCACGTGATGCCCTCTCCATAGATTCTAACTCGATGGTCTTAGGTAGTTTTGAGATAGTTAAGGTTATCTTAGTAGTTTTAGATTTATCTTTATGTGCTAGTGTAAATGTACAGGGAAATATTTTAATATGCTTTTCTTCGTAGGGTTTCCCTTTAATTTCATTTCATTTCATTTCATTTTTTATTACGTTGTTTTTCGTGGTTACCTTCTTTGCCATTGATTTCCTTCACTTTCTGGACTTAAGAACACATCGCTGGATACCTCCACTAGTTTTATTGTAAGCACTTTGTTAATTGTTTATGTTCGTTAGCTCTATACCAATTTTAGTTTTAATTGTAAGTAGTACCTAGTGCGTTTTGTTCCTTCGTTTTTATACAGTGTGTCAATTTTAAAACTTACAATGGGCTAAATCTCACGTACAAAAGCTGATATTGAAAAATGCTTGAAACCGTTTCTAGGATAGTAAGGGGAATCTAAAATGACATGAAAGAAAACTCACCCCCATCACCTCCTAGGCCCTAGGTGCCCATCACAACCAAAAAAGTTTAAATTGTAAACTCCTACGTATGATACATCATTGAAAAGACTGTAAAAAATGCTATTCCATGGTATAAATATTAATTGTATAGGGTGAAGCAATAATTGTGAATCTTTGGCTTAAATGGAAAATGTAATGAGGTTTTTGTTAAACTACAAATTGGTTAAAAATGTCAATTAAGTAAATGTTCAAAGTGGGTCCATTGTTTTGTAAACAATAATACAGTCTATTTTCAAATTCTGTCAAATTTAAAATAAATACCGCTACATGATTGCGTAATTCTTTCTCGCAATTCCCCAAGTGACGCAGGTAGAGTTTTATAAACAACTGACTTGAGGTAACCCATAGAAAAAAGTTAGGTGGCGGTAAGTCTGGTGACCTCTATGGCTACTCAATAGGACCTCTCGTTCTAATTCATTTGATCGGATAATTAGTATACAACCAGTGCCTAACTGGAGCTGCACAGTGAGGAGGTGCTACATCTTGTTGTACGTGCAGCAAATCTTCGTCTAGAGCTAGGTTGCCTTGATCGCCCTTTTGGTTCTCTAATTTATGCACAATTAAAGGTTCGATAGTGTTTTTCAGCATATCGAGATAAATAATAAAGATAAAACAAGGAGCCAATTATAGCATCGCCTAATATTCCTGCTTAAACATTCAGGATATTGTTCTGTTATTGATTCTGTTTTTCAGTATATTGAGTGTGACCTTCTCTGAATCGATGCGGGTTCGCATCACTCCAGTACTGACAGTTTTGTTTATTTACATTACCATTCAGCATAAAAGTACATTCATCAGTGAAACAAACTATTTTTAACATTCTCCGTTCAACGCGAATTCTTTCAGTCATGAGTTCACAAAACTTCGCCTAGTTCTTGAAGAATTTTTGTTTTGTACGGGTGAAACTTATGTAATTTCAACACCTTTCTAACCGACTCATATGAAAGTCCTGTCATTGCAGATACTTGACGTGTTGATGCAGTAGGCTCTGTTGCAAAATTTCCAAGGACCTCAATTTTGGATGCTTTATTCAGTAATCTTGGGGCATCCCTTTTTTTATTTTGCACTGATCCCGTTTCTCTAAACTTTTCAACTAAATCGCGGAGGTACACGTGAATTACATTTTTGTCCGGATGCTGTTCATGAAATATTTGAGCTGTTTGTAAATAACAATGGTTCTGGAAGACAATTATGAAAATGATCTCATTCGTTGAGGTATACTGTAAACCATCGTGACAACTACAGCTGAATGACAGTACCGATCGTACAAATAATGAAAACTAATGACATTTAAAATTCTCAAATAAACCAAAAATTATTGAATCTGACACAACACAAAAAACAGATGGTTTTCAACTTCTTTTGCAAAAACGGCAAATTCAGTTTTAATTAAAAAAAATCCGACGAGCACTTATCATTAAAAGTAATTGTCCGGAAGATATTACAAATATACAAATATTACAAATTAACAACAAATATAAAAGTCATAGTAAGCCGGCTGATATTAACAAGCTGTATAAATATTAAACAATATTTATACAGGCTCATCAACAGAATCAACAAAAACCTCCATTAAATTTTCCGTTTAAGCCAAAGTTTCACAATTATTGCCTCATCATGTATAATTATTATTTATAGCATTAATAGCATTTTTTATAGTCTTTTCGATGATGTATCACAAGTGGGGTTTGCAATTTAAACTGTTTTGGTTGTGGTGGGTAAGGCGTATGGGGGTTGATGGGGGTGAGTTCTCTTTTATGTCATTTTAGTTCCCCCTTACTATCCTAGAAACGGTTTCAAGCATTTTTCAATATCAGCTTTGTTCCTGAGATTTAGCCCATTGTATTACATACAGTTTTTTTGATTGATTTTCATAAATTTTGTTATCTTTAAATTCTTTATCTTTATTCCATTGATACTATAGGTATCATTTAGATGTTCTATCATTGTCTGTAAATCATTCAAACATCTGAAATTATTGATACCTTTTCCATTTACTATGATATCTACATTCTCTCAAATATTGAAATATGGCTCCACTGTATATAAAAGCATCGAGCAAAAAGACAAAAGAGGGAATGTAAAGGTAGTGGGGGCAAAAATATTGTTAGACAGGAAGTGCGATCTTTAGAGGCCACTCAGGTTTGACATCAAATTTAGTTGGGTTATGTTATTGTTTGTCCCAAATGTCACATGAAAGCTTATTTATATTGAAGTTTTTTAACAATTGTGTCGCATTTTAGACTATTACCGTTAATAATTAGTTAAAACTTTTTCGTCTAAGACACATTCTGAA